TTTTCCTTGCTAATTGTCCTGAGTTCTAAATAGATTATAGTTATCAGCCCTTTATTGGATGTGTAGCTTGTGAAAATTTTCTCCCATTCTGTGGGTTGTCTGTTTGCTCTCTTGACAGTTTCTTTGGCTCTGCAGAAGCTTTTTAGTTTGATCAGGTCCCATTTATTTATTTTTGTTGCTGTTGTGATTGCCTTTGGGGTATTCTTCATAAATTCTTTGCCTAGGCCAATGTCTAGAAGATTATTTCCAATGTTTTCCTCTAGAATTCTAATAGTTTCACACCCAATGATCAAGTCTGTTACTCAGCGTGAGTTAATTTTTGTAAGAAGTGAAAGGTGTGGGTCCTATTTCAGTCTTCTACATGTGGCTATCCAGTTTTCCCAGCACCATTTATTGAATAAGGATTCTTTTCTACAGTGTATGTTTTTGTCTGCTTTGTCAAAGATTAGTTGGCTATATGAGAATGGTTTTATATCTGGGTTCTCTGTTCTGTTCCACTGTCAGTGTCCCTGTTCTTGTGCCAATCACAAGCTGTTTTAATTACTGTACCCTTGTAGTATAGTTTGAAATCTGGTAAATTGATACCTCCTATTTTGTTTTTATTGCCCAGGATTGATTTTGCTATACGGGCTCTTCTCTGGTTCCATATGAAGCGTAAAATTATTTTTCTATATCTGTGAAGAATGATGATGTTATTTTAATAGGGATTGCATTGACTCTGTAGGTCACTTTGGGTAGTATAGACATATAGACATTTTAACAATATTGATTCTGCCAACCCATGAGCATAGTATATTCTTCCGCTTGTTTACATCCTCTGGTATTTTCTTCTTCAGTGTTTCATAATTCTCCCTGTAGAGGTCTTTTACCTCATTAGTTAAACATATTCCTAGGTAATTTATTTTCTTTGTTGCTATTTTGAAGGGAATTGAGTCTTTGATTTGGTTCTCACTTTTACTGTTGTTGGCATATATGAATGCCTCTGATTTCTGTGTATTGATTTTGTATCCTGAGACTTTACCAAATTCA